CACTGACGTACAAGTCGTGATGCAAGAATGGGAGCAAACACTGAGGAAGACCAAAAAGGGTACAATAAACTGTCAATTTTGTATGACATTTTGAGGGCGCGACTTCAATTGAGTCTCTGGCTCGAGGCGCCGAGCAGAAGAGCATTTTGAAGAGTGCCACTTGGGCCTTGACCACAAACCGCCTGTCAACAGTTGCTGAGAGGATGCAAGAGAGAGAGAGAGAACCAGCCCGACCAAAGGGCGGCACACTTTCAACAGTAAACAATGTCTCAAACATGAACTGAGACTAGAATAAATAGTATATGCGAAAAAAAGTTGGGTTTCGAGGAATCACTTGTTTCATAATTGTTGAGTTGAATTCCATTTTGAGGAAAAATGTTTGGTGAAGAGATTCGAAGCTCGATTCTACAAGAAGACACGGCGGATTTCTCTTGGCTTTACTGGAACATATAACGTACGAAAACTTATCAGGTTTTTCACCGGAATCGAGGGAGATTACCACGGAAACAGCGTCATCATGAATGCTCCAGTAAAGCCAATCGATAACTAGTCAAGAGGAATTCGTTGTCGTCTTCGTGTAGAATCGATCTTCGAATATTTCTTCACCAAACAATTTTTTTTTAATGAAAGTAAAATCAACAACTTAAATAGTAGGTCTAGCTTACCGACCACGTTTACAATGAATTTCATATAAACTTGCATCATTAAAGGTATTCGAATTTAGGGCAAACTGGACTGCATCTTCGAGCTTGCCTGAATACCATCGGCGAGGTCACGGCAACTCAAACTTCTGTTGGGATAAAGCAGCGTATAAACTCGGCACGGTAACCACTACGCCAGACTTTCACAAATGCGATTTTGTCACGGGGCAGAAGATAATGTCAAGGAAGTCAAAGTAAAATTATACGACTAAATAACACTAGGAAAAAGCCACAATTTTGCTAAGGGTTAGTTGCTGACTGTAAAATTATGAAGACGAGGTCAAACAACTTTGGCACAACCAAAGGTCACACCATC